GGACAAAAACTCAAAAGTGGTCAAAGAGTGGCTTGTGACATCAAAGGGAAGGAGCTTTCTAGACAAAGAGAACAACACCTACAAAGTTCCTGCATTAGACACATTAGATTTGAAGTGCCTATTTAAAAAAATCAAATAGAAATGCTGATTAAGCATTGAATGTGAGCTGGAGGTCAGGAGAACAACCAGGCTGGAGATATGTTTGGAGTCATCACCATATAAATGATACTTAAAGCCAAAGACTGGATGAAATTACCAAGGGAAGGAGTATATCTGGGGAAGAAATTCAAAAATTTTCACCCAGGCCTCTATGAGCTCTGACGGCCCTGAGACTCTTAGTGGGAGCTAAAAATATTGTTGGGAGTTTAAAAGATGATCTGGTTGGATGGTAGTGATCTTCAAAGTCAGGTTTTAGAAATGTTTCAAAGGTATAACTACTGGAGAATATATGGTATGATGGAAGGCAAAATCATTGGATGAAAAGAGCTCAAGGAATGGAGAAGCCAATGAATCAGAGAGCTTACTTACTTGGACACCAAAATCACAGTTCTTAAAAAACTAGCACTAGAGAAGTCACAAGGATCCAGGGGCTAAATTCTTTAAGAAATTAGAGAATGGATACAAATCAATAGACTACTATAAGAGGAAGAGATAACAGATATTATCCTTTGATGACATAGGATTCAAAGCTGGGTATGTTAGAGAAGAGAAAGGGAGAACAGTCTGGAAACAGTGTGAGGAATAAGGAGGTCACTTCTCCATCTCCAGGCCCATATGGGTGAGGCATAGGAGAGGATCTCATCACCACTTGAGAGAGCAGCGGAGGAAGAAAATGTCCTCAGGGCTGGAGACTGATCACAGATTTCTGTAAGACCAAGTGGTGAAGTGAACACTTAGCAGAGGGTAAAGATTTAGGAGTTTTGCTGGTTACTGGCTATGAGTTCAGGGAGAAGAGTAAACATGTTTCAAGAGCAAAAAGGGTAAGAGATAAGGTCACCAAAAAAGGCATACAAAGTTAGAAAGAGAGTTCCTTGGTCAATGATTTTGGAGAGAGATTATAGTATCTGAGAAGCAGTCATAGAAGAAAAGGAAATTTTCTAACTTTTCATTCCTCTCATTGAAGGCAATTCCATTCTTTCCTCAAAGATTACATATGATGAAATTAAAACCCAGAGAACTTAAGGATTTCACACCAAGCCACAAAACCAAGTTGGATCTCATGTAGAGCAAGGTGGGCTTTTTGGACACATTTCTGTTCTTCCCAGAACTTTATATTGAAAAATCCTATTAAAGAGTTCCTACCATGGGCCTATTCCCATGATAAAAATGGAGAAACTGCTTTGAAACTACTGGTGAAAGGGGTGCCTGAGGAATAGCAGTTTCAGTGTGACTTATCAAATTTATTGAAATAGCAGAGTAAACAGGCAGATACAAGGTCTAGAACAGGATGCCAACAATGACAATGACAAAAATACTTGAATCCAGGAAATTCCACAATAAACCTCACTTCTTGAGTTCTGTGCCATGATAGCATAAGTTAGTGTGGTAAAGAGGTGTGTCTTGTGCTTCCAGTAATACATCCTTTAGGATAGGGTCAAAGCAAGGTCACTGAACACCACGTTCAAGTCTATAATGTTTTATTATTTACATCTAAGGAATTGTAGCTAATAGTAAAGGCTCAATTTTATTAAGCACCAGGATGTATGTTACACACTTTACAAGTATAATCTAAAAACTTTGAGGTTGGTACTGTGATTATTGCTCCATTTAATCAACGAGGAAACTGAGTCCTGGAGTGATTAGGTAACTTGGATGAGATTTTCCAGGTAGAAACTGGCAGAGCCAGAATTCTAACCTCATTAGGGTGACTAGAGTAACTTCAGTGTCTGCACTACTGTGCTTATGTAGGAGACCCCTTATCTGCGCTTTCACATTCTGTGGTTTCAGTTATCTATAGTCAACCAAGATCTGGGAGTAGATAATCCTTCCAGAAGCCTAACGCTATAACATGATGCCTACATCATTTACCTCACTTCCTTGCATCAGAAGGCATTTTATCTTTCACATCATCAGAGGAGAAAGATGAGTAGAGTACAGGAAGATATTTTGGGACAGAGAGACCAATCACGTAATTTGTATTACAGTATAGTGTTATAATTGTTCTGTTATCATTAGTTATTAATCTCTTATTGTGCCTAGTGTATAAATGAAACTTTACCATAGGTACTTAGGTATACGAAAACACATAATATATATATATAGGGTTTGGTACTGTCTGCAGTTTTAAGCATCCACTGGGGGTCTTGGAACATCTTAACCTGCAGATAAAGGGGGACTATTATACCACTTTAAAAGTCAAGGCTTCAAGTAGTATATTTATATGTAACATAATTATTATATATCATATATAATAATATAAATAGGTCAAATGAATAGAAATCATGACTTTGTCTTAACTCCCATGTTCTAATTTCCTTTCCTTTTTCCTTTAATAAAAATTATTTATTTATTCTAAAAAAGAATTTGGCAATTTTAGCCCAGTAAATTACCAAACACCCCTAAGAAAACAAGAGCTGCATTCTCTCACAATTTAAGCTATATTCTCTTATTAAATAGATCTCAGTGACTGTTTCAGACATTCAGTGAGGTTGTAGCTTACTAAACAATGTTAACAATGGTGTGGAGAAAAAGCTTTGTGAGATAAATTTGTAGACATAAGCTGTAAAATGAACTAAAATATTAATATGAATTCTAAAAAGTATTCATGAAGTATTCATTATTTTTCACCCAAGACACAAAGCTAGGACCACACCTAGGTTATTCAAAAAGAAAATCAACATTTTTCATATTTTTCTATGTTTTTCAACTTACATAAAGTAAGTTGCTGGCCACAAGACTTCAAATATTTCTGTTCTCATTTAAAAAAATGTTGCTATTATAAAAGAGTGGTTTGGCTGAAAACAAAGCAAAATAAAGCAATACTTCATATACAACAAAGCAACGATGAAATTCCCATTCTTACTTGATTAAAAGTACATTCCACTTTAAGTAAAAAAGGAACAGCTACCCTATAGCATTTGGAAATAATATTTTTATTGAAATTTTTTACTTTCAGCTTGTTCAACCTTCCAACTCCCCATGAAGTTGAGTATTGAAAGACTTATATCATAAAACTAATAATCTGCCCAACAATTTGGTTTTACAGCATATAAGCTAAATGCAGAACATTTCACTTATTTTTATGGTATCTCTGAAATCTATGCATAATCTGTGTAAACTAGAATTATTAAAAAAATTGTTGACATTCTTTTGCATGTTTATATTCAATGTTATTTTTGTATTTTACTTACCCAAAATCAGTTTTCTTTTAGCATTTATCTTTTTTTTTTTTTAATATGTACAAACAGATACACAGATACATAGAAATATATTCCATTTGGGTGACTTCTTTTAATTTGTCCTCATCCATTCATTCAGTCAACAAATGCTTGTTAATGCCTAATATGTGCTTTGTCACTGTAGTAAGTACAAGGAGTCTTTAGCTTCTATGAAGCTATGGCTCCATTAGTAAATATTTCAGATATTTCAAGAGAACAATTTTGCATGGACAGAACCTTTAGCAAACCCCAGAACACATCCTTTAGGTGACTGCCCCATTCTGCTGGCCTTCCACACACAATTTCACAATAATCTGCAGCTAATAACTGAGATGCTCTCAACAAATGTTTTAAAAAGATTTTCTGTCTTTTCTTTAGCATTAAACAAACACTGGTCAAGCCCCTGTATGGTAAGCTCCATGTATATGGAAAAAGACTTAAATTTCTACATTCTGCATAAAGTCATGAAATTTACTGGACCTTTCAATGAGCTAATAAGAGGCAGCTCTGTGAGGGTGCTTCTAAATAAACATGATTTATCTGAGTTCGATGGTATTTGAAAAGAGAGGCTTTTTATCAATGCTTAATATGATTCTGAATAAACTCTAAATGTCACAGAGCTTTCACTTACAAGGTCATTAAGGGCTGCAAACCTCAGCTCTTGGGGTTATCAGATTTCAAGATTATTATCTATTAAAACTATTTCACCCATTGGATCCTATGCTTTATGAAGAATTTTGGGGGGCATTTACTTTTTCATATATATATTCAATTCTAGACTCAATTGAGACTCACCATTATTTATACTATCTGGGGCCTCAAACTATCTGATCAAACCTTAAAAGAATTTAAGCCATGAATCAATTCAATATTCAAAAATTTTAAACATTTTCATGTGTTCGAGATTCTGACATTATATTCACAATATTAAAAGTTTTGGTGAATACTGCTTGGATTAATGAAAATGTGTTATTTAAGCCTCCATCTGATGCTTGAATTCCTTTTATAATAGCCCAGAGAAACACTGGTGAAATTGTAGTTGGATAAAGGAAATTTTATGCGAGTGCCTTAAGAACTCAAGAAGGAGTTTATTCTGCAAATTTTCAAATTTTTTTTTTCCAAATCAAAGTCCCACTCTACAAGAAGAGTTTTCTCTTAATGACAGCCTGAAGCTCAAGAACATGAGTAACAAGTTAAAAAGAGGAAAACTACAAAATAGTTTCTTTGAATCAATAGCCCCTAGGTCTTCAAGTAACTCACCAAATTCCAAAGAGTTTCTCAATCATACTTAAGGGACTTTAAAGAATTATCTATATTTTCTTTTGAAGAATTAGGAATGTTTTAAACAACAATAAATCAAATATAGAGAGACTTTTAAAATTATAAGATTTTATCCTTATAATTTCCTAAAACCTTTAATAGTCACACACATTAAAAACATCCAATCTCTCAAGTTCAAATAAAAGAGCTGAAAATTAGTTATTAGTCGTTGTTTCTGAAATCTCTTTATCTTTTGACACAATACTGAAAGGAAATACTAGCTGTTTGACACTGCATTTTAAATGAATGCAAAAATAATGAAAATCACTGTGTTGCTATTAACACTTATGCAATGAAACTCACCATATTCTTTCAGAAGCCCCATGGAAGAGGAGGTCATGGATTCTAAGGGCAAGCCAAGGTTGATGACGTGGGTGGCAAATGGTGAGACCAACAATCTGTTTCCAAAATATAAAGTTAGAGCTTTAAGTGATTTATAGTCCCTAAAAGAGCAGTAAGCCCTCTATAAACATTATTGAAAATATATATTTATATATCATTATTTTACATGATAAATACATAATATTTATTAAATGAAGACAAAAGAATACCAAATTTTACTGGTCTGAGCATGGATAACAAATAGGAACATTTGCTTTCCAAATGAAAACAAAATCAGAAAAATGAACAAGAATCGTATCTATTTCTTCTCTGTTTTGCAAGATTTTAAGTAACATGTTTTCCTAGCGTGACTTGGCAAGCTTCAAACAAATCAGCTGAATCAAAATCTATGCACCACATAGAAATTTTAGAAAATGTACATAAGAAAAAGGAAGAAAATAAGAATTATCCCTAATTCACCACCTTAATATTTTGGTCATAACTGTAAACCCTTAAATGCTTCCTAGGAGCTAGGTACTATTCTAAGCCCAGTCTATGTCTTACTACCTTTAATCCTCACAACAAGACTCTGGATTTTACTATTAGTACACTCATTTTATAAATGAAGACACTAAGCAAAGGTTAGGTAGTATATAGTTCAAATTATCCCAGCTAGAAAGGGGTGGAGGCAGGATTTGAATATAGGCAGTAGGCCCTCAAGAACTAAACTACTTATTACTATTTTATACTAACTCCATTTGTCATAATTAACATGTGTAATATATTTCATACCTTCTCTATATTTATGTGCACATAAAATGTACATGAACTTTTTAGCTTATTTTTTGCAGTTAGTATCATAAATATCTGTATTTGTAAATGTACAAAGATGTACATTGTCATTTTGACCCATCACAAAGCATTCCACTGTATAGATTTAACATACTGATGGTTTATTTACCAGTCTTCTTTTGCTGGATGTCTGGGTTACTTCACTTTTTTGGTATTTATAAACAAGGATGAAAATCTATGAATATTCATGTCTGTGAACCTGTCCAATTCTTTCTTATTATAAATGCCTAGAAATGGAATTGCTAATTCAAATGTTATATAAATGTTATAGAAATATTTAGGATTTTAAAACATTTTGCCCATCAAAAAACTAGAGTCTATGAGGGAAAAGTCTGTGGCTGTTCTGTTTGGAGTTTTACACTGGCAGAGAGTAGACACTCTATAAATAGTAAATAATGACTGATTTATAGGATCCATTAGTCTAGCAGTTACTCATGTTGTCACACCCATGCAGTTGGCTGAAGAACTGGGATATGGCTAGTATGACAAAATCATATTGTCAAGGGAAAATATGAAAGGCTTGAGTATACAGTCAGCTTTGCAAAACTCCATTTCAAATTCTAGAATTTACTTGTATGTCACCAAGAATGGGGCCACGATACACTGATCAATCAGTTTTCTTTGCTCTCTTCCATCTTGCCCATGGTTAAATATTTAAGTCCCCAAATTAGGACTATTAATTGCATCGTTCAATGATTCCTATTAATTAAAGATTTTAACAGAAGTAGACCACAGTTCATCCACTTAAGCAAAATATTTTACAAACATTCAGGCATTCAGGTAAAATGGCAGGGTCATTTTAACATAAATGTGAAATGCAATGAGAGATTCTATCAGTATTTTATAGTCTCATTTTATTATTAAATTGATCAGAATAGCCTAAATATAAATTGTCATGTAACACATAAGAAACTCCCAATGATCACAAAACTAGGGGAAGAATTCCAGGCTCAATTGCTTGGATTACAGAACGCATTTACAGAAATGCAGTTGTCATAGCTTCAAATGCACCAAATATTACATACTAAAATAAATAGCTCTAATAAATAGGTGCATAGTAAATTAACTTCCTTGATGGAAAATTAACATTCAGAATGTGCTCACATTTATCATTATTGTCATAAAAAGTATGTTAATGTATGGGAATCTTTGAAGTTAGAATTCAAAGGTACATTAAAGAACTTCACGTCTTTAAACTTAAATATGGAAATGTAGAACTAGTTGATTTTGTTTTCCCTCCACAAAATCAAACATAGAGAATCCTGCAGAAAGGAAATCATACACTTACTAAGATTATATTTCTTCATGTATTATCTGAAGAAATTTCTTTCGTTGAGCTAATATTTTTTATGGTCTACCTAAAAATATTATATGTCACCTTAGATATTATAATTTTCCCAAGCATCTTCAGGAGAATTGTAAGTAGTTTATACACAGCTTCCCTTACAGGGGTCTATTTGTATTGAACAGAAATCTTCCAAAAGTCTCACAAAGAGTTGAGCAATTCATGCTAATTAGTGCTAGGGAATGTCTCTGCGTTGTCAACAATCCCCTACCAGATTTCTGACTGATTCTGCTTTCCTTTCTGTTGCTTATATCCTCATTGCTAAGTTTCCTTTATCATTAGTATGTGGTGAACTACATTGCAATAAAAATTTCACTCTAATGACATCTTATTGGCCTAGCTAACCACAGGTTTTCTAACACCCTGATTCGCCACGTCCCAGAACACCGATTTGTCTTCCCTTCTGTATTCCCACCCCACTTCCAACACTAATGAAATGAAGCTAACTGCTAAGGTAGTAAACAAGTTACTGCCATAAGCTAGCTATATATAAAGACAAAGCAACCCTGGTGGATTGAAGTTCAGGCTTTATGTGCCCCAGGCTGTCACTGAAAGTACATGTACTTACTCTTAATTTCGAAGGGTGTTGTTCTTCCTCATTAAGGAGAACATGTTTTCATTAAAAATGGGATGTTAGGGTGTCAAGCAACCTTTATCTTCCACCAGTTGCAGAAGAAACAATTCTTCGAGAAATACTCAACTCTCCTGAGAAAGACATACTGAAAGATATTCTACCTGATCGGATTTATTATTGAGGAGTGCGCCACATGTCCTTAAGTCATTATTACTCTTTCTTGAATTTTTGGCCCCATTTCAATACACTGAAAATGGTAGGTTTTTAGATTAGTTCAGTTGACGTTTCCAGCTACTAATGGCTTACTTGAAATTCTAAACTATTTGGTTAAATTGGTCTGTTAACTGTTCTTTTAGCAGTTAACCACTCTGCTAGACAAACCTGGGTCTTGGCTTAAGTAAAGGCCAAAGGTAAATTTTTAAAAACTAGTAAATTCCCAATACAAGCATTTCTTTTCTATGCAATTAATATCTTCCCCTACCAAACCCTCAGTCTTAGAACTGTACATATATTCCATTCTCCCAAATTTGAATATCATATTATATTTAAGCCATGGAAGTGGTTACTTGTGAGCATGAATCATTTACTGTTAAGCACAGTTTGCCAGATAAATGTTGGAAGGTCCATGTTACTCTTAAGAGCCAAGGCAATAATTTCTCAATTTTTTATTATTTACAACTGTGCCAATTACCCCAAATTTCTGACAAGGTTACATTGTGAAGTAATGTAAAACAACCCACTGAAAAATACATTTTAACAGAGCAGTATTTACTTTCTACATGTATAGTGTTCCTACAAAATGTGTTCAAGGGCCTTTAAAGGTTCTGTAGCTCTAGGGTTAACAGTTATGTACACAACTATAAAGTTATCTCGAAGATGATGTCATTTAGTGGAATAATTCAGAAAAGTAACTGCCCCATCTCCACACACCTTTGGAAAGCAGAAGCAATGCTCAAAATGCCTGTCCTGAAACTCTGCTCTATAGGATCAGCCTCACCTTCTGTTGGAAAAAGACTAACTTTAAATTATTAAATTAAAAAAGAAAAATTATAACTTAAATCTACTCCATAATTGCTGTAGATGAGTTATTAAAATTCTAAACTTATGTACCATTATCATAAAATATGGCATTTTTCTCAAGAAAGCCACAAATTGGATTTGAGCTTATGCACTGTAAAACCCAGATGGTCTGCTTAACTACTCAGACATTACCCCAGTTCAAAAGTTAATTGAACTGAAAACTAAAATTTTGATAATTGATATGCTTTGAGGGACTCAAGCAGAAGGATAAATTAGCCTCATGCATGGGGTGTTAACAGACTTGAAAAACCACGACAATTGGTCAGGAAACATTGGCACGGTAAAATAAAACTATACATTTTCTATAGGATATAGCCAATTACACATTACCTGGACTTCCCATGGTGCTGATGCTTTTCTTTCTCCATTTTTTTACCCACTGATTCAATATTTGTCACTATTTTACCCAGTTTAACTTGTTCTGGAATTTAAAAAAAAAAAGTTTTAATTGTATACTATTTGTTTTCAAGTTCTAAGTGCATTTTTTGAATTAAATTGCAAATCACAGATTTTTTAATAACAAGAGAAACAACATTTTTCAAACAAATTACTAACACAAAGATACTCTAAAAACACATCTGAGTGTTTTTTCTCACCCCATGCTCCTCAGATGTTTTGCAATTACTAAAATTTAGCACTGAAGGTATAGAGTAAATGAACTGCATATATCAGAAAGGAGATAGCTCCCTAAGAAATGTCTGCAATAGCACAGCACATACCAATGAATACCAACAGTCTCATTTATATACATCAGCATTATTATCATCATTATCATCATAAGGCTTAGCTTTTATAGGAGAGTCTGCTATTTTAAAATAATTTAGCAATCATTAGTTAATGTAAACAGGAACACTCATCAACCTGTTGAGTAAGACTGAAGTCCAGAAAAGGCAAACTTCTGCTTAAAAAAAAAAGTAGTTCTTAGAGTCTAAAGAGAAATTTACATAAATATATTTAAGTACCTATTACCTTCTATTTTGCACAGATAATAGGGCTAACAGAGTTTAAAACATCAGAACAAAATATTAAGTTGATATCTATGAAGCACTTTCTCGCTACCAGCTCAGGTATGTTAGAGATATATTCATGACACAGGGAACTTATGAAATGAAACCCTCTGCTTTGGAAATATTTGCAAACTGCTTGGTGTGTTAATGCTAACAAACAGAAGAGCACAGTTGACCACATTATGTCAATTGAGATTTAAAATATATAACACAGAATATAAAAATTTTGGAGAAAAGGAAAACAGAATGTTAAAATGTATGGACTATTTACAATACACCAGGAGGGTTGTTTAGCATTCCCTGCAAATCATCTCACACTACAGCCTCAGAACTAGTTTTGGCATTTTCGTTTGTTTGTTTTTGGTGAAGCATAGTGATTACTTTTTTACACAGGAGGAAAGTAGCCTACCCAAACTCTGGTAAGTTAAAAGGTGCTGAGCCAGAGCTCCAACCTGTATCCCTAGGACCAAAAAGTTCCTCCATCACAATTGCCCAACAGCTTAGGAGGCTCAGGTGCCTAATCAAGGAAAGAGGGTCATTTCTGACTTGCTTATCACTTTGGAGGATGACTAGGAAGCTCTCAAAAGACACACTTTATATAAAGACATGTGGCAGATTGAGAAACATACTAAGATGAAGAAGTAGAGAAGGAATTTATAAGTTTGAATCTTAAAAATATTTGTCATATGCTGTGTGCTAATTGCTATACATGGGTTACCAGATTTTATTCTTGCAAGTACACCATAAATTAGGTTCTGTTATTCTCCCCATTTTACAGATGAGAAGACTGAAGCAGAGAAGCAGAGATTAACTTCCCCAAGGTTACATAGCTAGCAAGAGGTAGAGTCAATATGCAAACCCAGGCAGGCAGTCTTTGGAGCTGCATTGTTAATCACCATGATACTCAATATGCATTTTATTTTATTTGATTCAGGAATATCTACATAGTGAAAACTGTGCTAACTCCTAGAGAGGGGAGATGTAGGATATACCAATTAAGACTTAACTGCCATTCTCAATGGACAGGATGACTAACAGCAAAAATCACTGCAGAAAAGCAAAGGAGAAAAAGGGTTAAGAAGGAAAGGTCATGAGATGTGTGATCGAGAGATCTAAGGAGTGAATTTTACAGTGATGCTAAAGAATGTTTTTGTTACTATAATAATTAATAAAGCAAAAGATATGGCATTTTTGTTGTTTTTTAAAGATTATTATTGTTATTTTTAGTAATCTCTACACACAATATGGGACTTGAACTCACAACCCTGAGATCAAGTGTTGTATGCTCTACCAACCCAGCCACATATGCACCCCTATATGCCTATTTTGAAAAAAATCTGTTAAAAACTCTAGCCATAATCCATTTAAATGTTAAACTAAAAGCCCCCTACGGTAACATTTAACTAAATCATGTTAGGATTGCATCCAAAGTGAAAAAAAAAAAAATGATAGTTGTATCCCTTAAAGAAAAGGGAGATTTCTAGAAAGGCACTTAAAGCATATAAAGAATTCAACACTACTTCTAATTAGTTTACTAAACCTTTGGATGGGGAACCAGACTATTGTGTGACTTTGGGCAAATTATATCATCTCAGAGTTCGAAACTATTCCCTTTACATAAAATCTAGTCTCTAAACCAATTACACCAAACTCTAGAAATCAGTTCTGGAATCTAAATTATAAATCACCTCTAGTTAGAATAATTGGTAAATAAGAGACAAGAAGACTGGGAAAAGAAAATGCAGGTAAAATAAGAAATGTAGGTTTGTTTGTTTTTTATACTTTACATACATTAATTTATTTAATCTTCTCAATAAAACCGTAAGGTAGGCACTACCATTATTTTCATTTTACAGAGTAATCCGAGGTACAGACAGGTCAAGTAATTCATCTAAGCTTACATGGTTGGTAAGTGACAGAGTTTTGAATCCAGGTAATCTGTCCTCAGAGTCCACACAATTAACTCCTTCACTACATTGTCCTCCCTGGACAAGTTTAGCAAAATTAAGCAAAATCAATATGGGGCTTTTGTAATGAAATCCAACATACAGAGCATAAGGCATTAGAACTGTCAACCAAAGGACTCTGGCCCTTTATACTATTTACCACACTTCACTCAGCTTTCAGCTGGAATTGACCATTCCTTCAACTAGAATCAATCAATCATTCAATTTCCTTCACTTCTGACTCTTTCCCCTGTCTCCTTTGTGGACTCATTTTGCTTTGACTACCTCCACCTACTGTGTATGCACCACAGCTCTTCCCTTGGTTGTCTTCTGACCCTTTACTTGAATGATCTGGTCCATGCCCACAGTTAAATTTATCATCTAAATGTAGATGCCTCAAATATCTATGTATCTTGCCCAGATCACTCTCAAATGCCAAATCTGAATAACAAACAATCTTTATACACATGTCCCAAAGACATTCCAATTAACATTTCTCTCTCACAATTAATGACACTATCGTCCATCCATCTACCTGGAAGTTACTTAAACTCATTCCCCCCTCAACCTTCATACAATCAGTCATTAAATCCCTTCCTTCTCATCCCACACACTGCCTCAAAGCAGACCTTTATCATCTGTCCTCTGAACACTAATAGCCTCTTCCCTTTAATTCTTGCCTCCAACTATGATACCCTCCAATCCATCCTCCTTACTTTCCATAAGTAATTTTTGATTTTCAAATTATGGGACTTTAAATTATCATTGTCATTTTTAAATTTAATTTCACTGCAATCAGAGAATATGATGTATAATTTCAAATTCTTTGAAGTTTACTGATAGTGTGCAATTTTCATTATGCTCCATATCTGTCTGAAAATGTATATTCTTTCATTGTTGTTCTATATTGATTTAATAAACTTCTTAATGTAGTTGTTTACATAAAATTTTATAAACTTACTAATATGCATATGCACACACATATATGTCTGTACATGTATATATGTATATATATATAATTTTTTTTTGCTTTACCATTAGAAAGTAAGCTACAAACAGTATGACTTTTCACCTTTAAATATTTCATCGCATAGCTCCTAAGAACAAATACATCTCCTACACATTCACTATATGTATAAATGCACTCTGAATTTCTAAAATTACTACAAAATGTAATATATCTAATTAAAATGTTATATTAATTAAATGTTTAAATAATATTTTCATATATTGAATTAAATAAAATATAGTATTGAAATTAATCTCATCTGTTTCTCTTCACCATTTTTATTGTGGCCACCAGAAAACTTTAAATTACACCTATGGTTTGCATTGTCTTTCAACAGGACAGCACTGACTAGAACATTCCTCCTACCCTTTTTCATCTTTTTTGACATTCTTGAAGGCAATCTGAATTCTTCCCACCGTTTAGGACTAAATTAAATATTTTTGACAGGAATAGTACAGAAGTGGTCCTACTACATCACATCAAAAGGTGTTACTAGAGGCACCTGGTTGGCTCAGATGGTTTAGCATCTGCCTTTGGCTCAGGACATAATCTTCAGGTCCTGGGACTGAGCTCCACATACCTCTCCCAGCTCAGCGGGGAGTCTGCATCTCCCTCTCCCTCTGCCTCTCCCCCTGCTGTGCTCTCTCCCTCTCTATCTCAAATGAATAAATAAAGTCTTTGAAATTTTTTTTTTAATTTTTTAATTTATTTTCAGCGTAACAGTATTCATTGTTTTTGCACCACACCCAGTGCTCCATACAATACGTGCCCTCTCCAATATCCACCACCTGGTTCTCCCAACCTCCCACCCCGACCCCTTCAAAACCCTCAGATTGTTTTTCAGAGTCCATAGTCTCTCATGGTTCACCTCCCCTTCCAATTTCCCCCAACTCCCTTCTCCTCTCTAACTCCCCTTGTCCTCCATGCTATTTGTTATGCTCCACAAATAAGTGAAACCATATGATAATTGACTCTCTCTGCTTGACTTATTTCACTCAGCATCATCTCTTCCAGTCCCGTCCATGTTGCTACAAAAGTTGGGTATTCATCCTTTCTGATGGAGGCATAATACTCCATAGTGTATATAGACCACATCTTCCTTATCCATTTGTCCGTTGAAGGGCATCTTGGTTCTTTCCACAGTTTGGCGACCATGGCCATTGCTGCTATAAACATTGGGGTACAGATGGCCCTTCTTTTCACTACATTTGTATCTTTGGGGTAAATACCCAGTAGTGCAATGGCAGGGTCATAGGGAAGCTCTACTTTTAATTTCTTGAGGAATCTCTACACTGTTCTCCAAAGTGGCTGCACCAACTTGCATTCCCACCAACAGTGTAAGAGGGTTCCCCTTTCTCCACATCCCCTCCAACTCATGTTGTTTCCTGTCTTGCTAATTTTGGCCATTCTAACTGGTGTAAGGTGGTATCTCAATATGGTTTTAATTTGAATCTCCCTG